CCACCGAAGAATCCCAGCGCTACGCTTCCCCTCGCCTACGAGTATCCCCCGCACCCCGCGCTCCCCTCAGAGGACCTGAGTTAGAACCCGCCTAGTATACCTACTAAAAATCTTGTGATATACGAGGTGTGATCAAAAAGTAAGGTGACTTTTTGAATTTCGCGCGCTCTGTACACTCTAATTTCAAAATTTTTTTGTTGTTGTGTTACACTCGTCACGATCATATGTTCACAGTTTTGACTATATAGCATGTGTTGTTTTTATGTGAGAGGCATAAAGGTTAGACTCGTGTTTGCGTACTCGACGATTTTTCGCTGTTGAAAATAATGGAGCAGAGAGTTTGTATTAATTTTTGTGTAAAAAATGGTATTAAGTGTTCAAAAACTCTTGAAATGTTGACAGTGGCCTACGGTGAGTCAACTTTGAGCAAAAAAATGTTTATAAATGGTATCAGTTATTCCAAGAGGGCGGAGAAAATGTTAACGATGAACCTCGCTCTGGACGCCCCAGCACGTCAAATAAAAAACCGACGAAAATGTTCAGGAAGTGGAAGAAATTGTGTTGAAAAATCGTCGAATCACGATTAGAGAAATAGCTGATGATCTTAACATATCTGTTGTATAGTAGCACCGCCATGGTGTGAGTATAGAGGGCGCGACGACTGCGGTTACCGACGGGGGACAGCAACTCTCTAATATATATGTCTCTATATATATCACTTAACGCTATTGTATTACATTACATCACACAAGTTGAGATACTAAATATATTATACACTTATATCAGTAATAACCGACACGTGTAGTTCATTTAGTACGAAACAGAACATTTGGACGAGTATTCGGATCGTACGAAAACCCACAACTAAAGACAATTTAACACGTACGCGCGAGGTTAGAAACCACGATGCCGGTCGGAAAAATATTTGAATTCAATCCAAATACAGACGATTTTGAATCATGGGCAGGAGTCCTCACAAATTATTTGCTAGCAAATGAGATTGATGAAGCTAGAGGAGATGCAGCTATGAAAAGGAAAGCAATAGCCATCTTACTACCATCAATAGGCGTGTCAACGTATGGACTTCTTCAAAGCTTAGTTTCGCTAGCCAAACCAGAGGAAAAAACATTTGGAGAGCTTATTGAAGTACTCAAAAAGCATTATAAGCCTACACCAAAAACAATTGCAGAGAGATATAAGTTTTATAAACGGATTCAACAGCCAGGAGAGTCAATAAATATCTATCTTTCCGAGCTGCGTAAAATAGGCGTAACATGTAAGTTTACTGATTTAAATACATCACTAAGAGATCAACTTGTCGTAGGTATTCGTTCTGAAGCAGTACAAAAACGTTTATTTCTTGAGGATGACAACCTAACCTTAGATATGGCTGTCAAAATCGCTACTAGTCAAGAAGCAGCCGATAGTAGTACCCAGTTAATACGGCACAATAATAGTCTTACTACCGTTATAGATCAGACTAATAAGGTTAAATCTTCATCACCTAAACAATATCAGTATACGAATAAAAATCCTGTCAAAATTAAGCAAGGAAAATTAACATGTTCCGGTTGCGGAGAGAAACATATAAAAAAAGATTGCCCACATAAGGAAGTTATTTGCCATCGTTGTAATAAATCCGATCACTTTGCACGTCGATGTCTATCACAGCCTAAAGGTGAAGGAGGAGAAGGGAAGCATAAAACAAATCAGATTAACAACGTCAAACAAGTATCGCATGATAGTCCTATCATGATTAACGTTCGTTTAAACGGAATTCCAATGGATTTGGAATTGGATACTGCATCAGGTACGAGTTTTATTACATCTTATGCATGGAAAAAGTTAGGCTGTCCCAAACTCCATCCAAGTAACAAAACATTTAAAACATATACTAGACAAAAATTTGAATCAAGAGGAACATTTCTTTGCACTATTGACCACAACCAACAGACAGTTAGTCATTAAATTCATGTTTCGGAAGGATCTTGTCTTTATGGCCGTGATCTGTTAAGAAAAATTCAAATAGACTGGACAAGAATTAAAAAACAATGTTCTAAGGTATGTCGCATTAATAATGAATTATCATTAACTACATTGTTAGAGGAATTCAGCGATGTTTTTGATAAACCGGTCGGAACTATTAAGGATTTTAAAGCCAAGTTGATACTTAAAGAAGATGCTACTCCTCGCTTCTTTAAATCACGTCCCGTTCCATTTGCTTTACGAGACAAAGTAGATGAAGAACTTGAGAAAATGGAAAAATCCGGTGTCATTAGTCGTATTGAAACATCGGAATGGGCTTCGCCATTAGTAGTAGTATCAAAACCTAATGGAGCGATTCGCATCACAGGAGATTTCAAGCGTACCATAAACAACCAATTACATGTTCAACAATATCCGCTCACAAGAGTCGAGGAAATATTTGAGTCAAACTTTTACTAAATTGGATGGTCCAGATGCATTTCATCAAGTGGAAGTAGAAGAATCATGTAAGAAGTATTTAGTCATAAATACCCATCGAGGCCTCTATAGGTATAACGTACAACCTCAAGGTATTGCATTTTCACCAGCAATTTTTCAAGAATTAAGGGGATGCTAGAGTGGCCAAATTGTCGGTAATTTGCAGGTCAATTTACATCTCCGAATTTACTTAACGAAATCAAAAATCCTTTTACAGGGTTAAAATAGATGCAAAATTAGTCAGTCAAGTTTCTTGGACAAATTTTGTGTGCAGAAGGAATATGTACAAACCCGGAGAAAGTGGAGTCAATTATGTCCATGAGGGAGCCCAGAGATGTAAAGGAAGTAAAATCCTTTCTAGGTTTAGTAAACTTTTACAGTAAATTTATTAATAATTTGTCACATCTCTGTGAGCCATTGAATAAATTAACACGTGATGGCGTTATTTGGAATTGGAATAGTCAATGTAAGGAAAGTTTCAGGAAAATTAAAAAATCTGTTTCAAGTGCTCCTGTGTTAGCACATTATCAGCAAAACATTCCTATTGACATAGCATGCGATGCATCATCTGTCGGAGTTGGAGTAGTCTTGTTTCATCGTCACGAAGATGGAAGTGAACAACCGATTTCCTTTGCCTCTAAAACATTATCATCTACCGAACGCAATTACTCCCAAGTAGAAAAGGAAGCTTTAAGTATTGTATTTGGAGTAAAACGCTTTATTCAATATTTATATGGACGTCGCTTCATATTAATTACGGATCATAACCCATTACTTGCAATATTTAGTCCACCGTGAACCGTGAACTACCATCTTTAGCTGCAACTAGATTACACCGTTGGGCCATATTCCTATCCAGCTTCCTGTATGATATTGAGTATCGAAATACTCATCACCATAGTAATGCAGATGCATTATCACGTCTACCACTCGAAGATAACCAGCCAGTAGACACTATAGTGGAAGAGGAAGTTAAAGCCATTATAAAGGAACATCCAATATCTTCAAGCTCGATAAAGCTGAAAACTAGTCGTGATCCTACATTGTCAAGTGTTATTCGGTTCATTAAAAATGGATGACCCAATAAGCAGTCTCAGCTATCAGATAAATTGAAACCTTACTTCATTTATCGAGAGGAACTGACAGTAGAACAAGGAATTGTTATGTGGGGTATACGAGTTGTTGTTACTGAATCGTTACGTCAACAAATCTTGGAACAATTACATGAGACACATTCTGGAATTGTCCGAATGAAATCTTTAGCTAGAAGTCATGTATGGTGGCCAGGAATAGATAGAGATATAGATTCACTTGTAAAATCATGTGTGTCATGTGCAGTTAGCCATGACAATCCTGCCACAGCACCGCTTCACCCCTGGTCATTTCCTGAGAAATCATGGCAACGATTACACATAGATTTAGCAGGTCCTTTTCTTAACAGTATATGGTTAATAATTGTGGATGCTTATAGTAAATGGCCAGAAGTATATAACTTGGGAAATGATTCATCTTCAGCTCATATTATCCAATGTATGAGAGAAAGTATTGCACGCTATGGTATCCCTGACACCATAGTTTCCGATAATGGTCCCCAATTCGTGTCAAGAGAATTCGAGGAATTTTGCAAGAAGAATGGTATTCGCCACACCAAGTCAAGCGCCTACCATCCTCGAAGTAATGGGGAAACTGAACGATTTGTTCGAACGTTCAAAAATGGCATGAAACGAAGTAATCATGCACAAAAGGATAACTTGGAATTGTGTAATTTCTTGTTTAATTATCGAATCACAATTCATGCAACTACTGGAGTCTCTCCAGCTGAACTTATAATGAGAAGGCAATTGAAATGTCGTTTAGATCTTCTTCATCCCAATGTAGACTCCGTTGTCAGAAATAAGCAAGAAAAGCAGCAGCAGCAATTTAACAAGAACGTTCCCGTTCGTCAATATAATATTGGAGATAAAGTTTGGGTCCGAACGTTTGGAAAAAATGACCCAAAATGGAGCCTTGGAATTATTACAAAATCTATTGGTCCAGTATCATATATCGTCCAAGCAGATAATCGTACTATCAAACGACATGTGGATCACATAATTTCAGCATCTTTTCAGAAACTACCACAAACCGACTCAAGTGAAATCATTATCAACCCAGAAGAATTGTTTAACTCATCGGAGCCAGAAGACGTTAACGAGTCAAATTCAGAGCCAAGGTCCACTTCCTGTGAAACAACAGAGAGGCCTCAGCGTCCTAAACGTAAAATCCAACCCCCTGATCGTTTAGTATATACAAGTTTCAAATAAGAGGGAAGGAGATGTTGTATAGTAGCACCGCCATGGTGTGAGTATAGAGGGCGCGACGACTGCGGTTACCGACGGGGGACAGCAACTCTCTAATATATATAATGTCTCTATATATATCACTTAACGCTATTGTATTACATTACATCACACAAGTTGAGATACTAAATATATTATACATTTATATTTATCAGTAATAACCGGCACGTGTAGTTCATTTAGTGCGAAACACAACAATATCGTTTGGCTCATGCCAATCAATTTTAACGGATG